ATGCGGGTGCAGAGCCCAAGGACTTGGGTCATCCTCCACTGCACTCCCTGGCCATAGCAGAAAGCCAGCCTGGAAGAGGGGCAACTGGGGCAGAATCCGGCGCCCCGACTGGGACTAGAACCCGGTGTGCTGGCGCCTCAAGGCGGAGGATTAGCCTATTGAGCCACAGCACCGGCTGAAATGTATTTCTCTGTTTGCAATTCTTCCATGTTCCCTCTCACTCTGAGATAATTACTGGCAGGTAAAAGTTACTTGTATTTTGTGCTTGTGACTTTATTTACTTCATCCTCTACTGTTTTGCAAATTGTGTATTCTCCTTAAGCCTCCAGCATGTCACCTTGTATATTTAATCTCAGTTGATGACTTTAATTCAAATTAGATTGTCAAAATAGAATTTAATCTACATGCTCTGATAGATGAGAGAGAGAGATATGATATATAGTTAAAGTAACATTTGTGCCTAAGTATTTTATCTTCTGTCATGTGACTAAAGAATTCCACCACATTTGCAAAGGATCTGATCCCCATTCTACTCTTTACAAACATTCTCTTTTTTTTAAACTTTTATTTAGTAAATATAATTTCCAAAGTACAGTTTATGGATTGCAATGGCTTCTTTCCCCCCATAACTTCCCTCCCACCTGCAACCCTCCCATCTCCCACTCCCTCTCCTCTTCCATTCACATTAAGATTCATTTTCAATTATCTTTATACACAGAAGATCAGTTTAGCATATATTAAGTAAAGGTTTCATCAGTTTGCACCCACACAGAACATAAAGTGAAAATACTGTTTAAGTACTAGTTATAGCATTAATTCACATTGGACAACACATTAAGGACAGAGATCCCACATGAGAAGTAAGTACACAGTGACTCCTTTTGTTGACTTAACAATTTTTAACAATTTGACACTCTTGTTTATGGTGCCAGTAATCTCCCTAGATTCTAATCATGAGTTGCCAAGGCTATGGAAGCCTCTTGAGTTCGCAGACATCGATCTTATTTAGACAAGGTCATAGTCAAAGTGGAAGTTCTCTCCTCCCTTCAGAGAATGGTACCTCCTTCTTTGATGGCCTGTTCTTTCTACTGGGATCTCACTCACAGAGACCTTTCATTTAGGTCCTCTTTTTTATTTTCCAGAGTGTCTTGGTTTTCCATGCCTAAAATACTCTCATGGGCTCTTCAGCCATATCTGAATGCCTTAAGGGCTGATTCTGAGGCCAGAGTGCTATTTAGGACATCTGCCATTCTATGAGTCTGCTGTGTATCCCACTTCTCATCTTTATTGTTCTCTCCCTTTTTGATTCTATCAGTTAGTATTCACAGATACTAGTCTTGTTTGTGTGATCCCTTTGACTCTTAGACCTATCAGTGTGATCAGTTGTGAACTGAAATTGATCACTTGGACTAGTGAGATGGCACTGATGCATGCCACCTTGATGGGATTGTATTGGAATCCCCTGGCATGATTCTAACTCCACCATTTGGGGCAAGTGGGATTGTACAAACATTCTCTTTACAAACATTAATCCAGGATCTTGTCCTTGTCTATATCACCACAATTTTTTGCTTCCTACTGAAATGTTCCCACCAGCATACTAAGTATAACTTTCTTTCATCACTTGAAAAACAAAAGCATTCTGCTTAACTCTATGTTCTCTTGTTAACCTATATTCCTTTTTGTTACATAAACTATTTTAAGAGTCTCTATACTCACTGTCTCTGTCTATGTTTTATTGTTCTATTTTTTCATGAATCCTCTTCAATTAGAATTTAACTGTCTCCAGTAAAATGAAATTGCTGTTTTCACCAAAGAACTTCAAATTTACTGATTCAAATTTACTGTTTCTAGCTGATCCTTCAAAAAAAGAAAGGATTTGTTTGTTTATTGAAAGGTAAAGTGATGGAGAGGGAGGAAGAAAGAAAGAAAGAATGAGATCTCCCATCTGTGGTGTAACTACCATAACATCCACAAGAGCAAGAGGGAGGAAAGGCCAAAAGCAGGAGCCAGGAACTCCATCAGAGTTTCCCACATGAGAGACAAGTTTCCAAGTACTTTGACCATCATGAGTTGCTCCAGATATATTAGCAGGAAGTTGAGTCAGAAGAGTGGAGAAGCCAGGACTTGAATCAGTTACCCTGATACGAGATGTGAGCATCCCCAAAAAGTGGCTTAACCCAGAATAAAACAAGATTCAGAGGCCAGCGTTGTGGCACAGCAGATTAAAGTCTTGGCCTGAAGCATCGTCATCTCATATGGGCGCTAGTTCTAGTCCAGGCTGCTCCTCTTCTGATCCAGCTCTCTGCTATGGTCTGGGAAAGCAGTAGAAGATGGCCAAAGCCTTGGGCCCCTGCACCCATGTGAGAGACTGGAAGAAGCTCCTGGCTCCTGGCTTTGGATTGGCTCAGCTCTGGCCATTTTGGCCATCTGGGGAGTGAACCAGTGGATGGAAGACCTCTTTCTGTCTCGACCTCTCTCTGTAACTCTTTCTTTCAAATAAATTAAATCTTAAAAAAAAAAAAAACAACATTGAGTAAACAGTTGCTTTTAACACAGTTAACTGCATCCTCCTCCTTCAAATAGTTTCCATTTTATCTCTCTTTCTTCCTCTTTCTCTCCTTCTTCCTCTTCCTCTTTATTTCTCTTTCTCATTTTCTTGGAACTCTTTCTTAGTCTCCTTTGCTTCATTCTCCTTATTCTCCCTTTAAATTTTCGAAGCAGGCACAGTCTTTAAACTAAGTTTCTTTTCTCTCTAAACATAATTCCTTTGAGAGCTAACACAATCTCATGGTTTTGCCATCATATATATTTTTATGGTTTTAAATGTGTACTCTTACTCTGGATTTCTAATATGAACTCCAAATTTACACAACCAATGACTACATATATTTCCATTTGAAGTTTATAACAGTCTGTGTCTAATGAAAAGAGAAAACACAGTTGGGTAAATGGGGAATTTTAAAGTAAAAAATTATGAACATGCCCTCCTCCTTCGATGTTGTTCAGTTCCTTTGACTAAGAAATATTAATATTATGTTTATTTTAAGAAGTGCTTAAATAATTTCACTCCTTATCACAGAATATATATTGAAGCAGAAAAGTAATAAACTGACAACTGACATAAATGTGTACAAGCATTTTAACTTCACATGTCCAAACTCAACTCTTAGTTGTTACACAAACCTTCATTCCCCTCTTGTACTGTTCTCTGTCTCTGTAAGTGGCAACCCCATTTTTCCAACTTATCAGTAAAAATCTTTGGGCCATCCTTGCTCATCTCTTTTTCTCTCTTATGCCACATTCATTATTAATCAGTGTTGGCTTTGCCGTCAAGTAAGATCTGGACTCAGTACAACTCTCATCACTTTTATGACAGTCACTGTGGTCCAAGTCACCATCATCTCTCACCCTGACAATTACATTATTTGACTGTTCTCTCTACTTCCACTTAATTCACTCCTTGGTTTACTCTGTAATGCAGCAGCCAAAATGACCCTGATGAAACTAAAGCATAAATCACATCACATCACTTCTCCATGCCAACTTCCCCTCCCCATCTGCTCACCTTCTATCTTCAGGGGCTAAATAAACTGAAAGAATCTGTAGCAGCCTTTAAGGATTCTTTAATATACCCTCCAGTCCCATCTTCTTCTTGACCCTGTACTCTTTTATCTCTACCCAAACTGTCCTCTTTGCTTTCTCAAAGACATTAGTTCCATTTCTACCTTAGGGACATTATATTTCTTTCCTTTTAACACTCTTGATCCAAGTGTCTGCTTGGTTTACTTTATGATCTCCTTTGGTGGTTTACTCAAACACTACCTTCTTAGTGAACATTTGGTTGCTCCTCTGCAAGAATGTAACCAGAACCTAGAACAGTTCCTTCCACAGAACACTTGCCCAAAAAATATTGGTTGAATAAATCAGTAATTACTGCTATAAAATAACTTTGTGATTGAAAGTCGTGTGTTGACAAAGAGATCATGCGAGCATGGGTACCTGATAATAACCCAAAATCTCCGCAACAGACCTGCTTTGCTGTCTTTCAGCATTCTTTTAGCATTCTTTTAAGTAAGGAAATAAACTTCTATCTTTTTAACTGCTTTTCAGAGATTTTACTTATATGCAGATGGTAGTTGATTAAATTCAATACTTCTTTCCTTAGCTCACTGCCTTTTAATCTTAGGCTCTTGGAATTTATGTTAGTTTTACCTGGAAAGTTTCCAAAAATGACTGACAGTAATGCATCCAGGGCAATGATTGATTAATACATCCTGGCGAAATGGATATTATTATTTATAAGTCTCCTAGAAATTCTTCCATGTAGTCTGGATTGATAAATTCTAATAACCTTTCTATTTACTATTTTTGTATCATTATTCATTAAGTTCTTTTAAAGACTTATTTTATTTACTTGAAAAACAGTTTTAGAAAAAGGTAGAAACAGAGAGAGAAAGGTCTTCTATCTACTGGTTCACTCCCAAAATGGCTGCAACATCCAGAGCTGAGCCGATCTGAAGCCAGGAGCCAGGAGCTTCCTCTGGGTCTCCCACATGAAGGTAGGGGCCCAAGGACTTAGGCCATTCTCTGCTGCTTTTCCAGGAAAATTAAGAGGGAGGAAGATCAGATGTGAAGCAGCTGGGACTCAAACCAGTGCCTCTAAGGGATGCCAGTGTTGCAGTCTGGGACTTTAACCCTCTGTGCCACAGTGCTAGCCCCCTTGTATTATTTTTACAAAGGAGAAATTCTTTTTTTAAAAATCTCTGTTTTAATTCATTATTTGACTCTCTTATCTGCTACTATTGGGTTATATATACATATACATGTATATATAAATACATATATAAGATGCATACATACACTAGTAATAACAATAATAAACACAATTTTTATTATTTATTATCTTACAATGCTTTCACATAACAACTGAATTTTTGAGGAAGATTTGATTCGTTTTCAATATGCAGATTATGAAAACTCCCAATAAGAATAATCACCCTTATTTTGGTCTCTTTGATCAAAATGACTCATCATTAATGTCCATTTCTTTGGTTTGTTCCAAGATTTCCAGCCTTTCTTCTACAGGAGACAGAGTGAAATGGAATTTTGTCCTGAAGTGACTAGAGAAAGGATATAAACCTTGAATCATTATTATTGTAGGCACTGATTCACATGATTCTTTTTTTTAACTTTTATTTAATGAATATAATTCCAAAGTACGGCTTATGGATTACAATGGCTCCACCCCCTCATGATTTCTCTCCTGCCCGCAACCCTCCCCTTTCCCACTCCTTCTCCCATTCCTTTCACATCAAGACTCATTTTCATTTCTCTTTATATACGGAAGATCAGTTTAGTATATATTAAGTAAAGGTTTCAACAGTTTGTACCCACATAGAAACACAAAGTGAAAAATACAATTTGAGTACTCGTTATAGCATTAAAACACAATGTACAGCACATTAAGGACAGAGATGCTACATGAGAAGTAAGTACACAGTGACTCCTTTTGTTGACTTAACAATTTTTAACAATTTGACACTCTTGTTTATGGTGCCAGTAATCTCCCTAGACTCTAATCATGAGTTGCCAAGGCTATGGAAGCCCCCTGATTTCACCGACTCTGATCATATTTAGACAAGGCCATGGTCAAAGTGGATGTTCTCTCCTCCCTTCAGAGAAATCTACCTCCTTCTTTGATGACCTGTTCTTTCCACTGGGATCTCACTCACGGAGATCTTTCATTTAGTTTTTTTTTTTTCCCCCAGAGTGTTTTGGCTTTCCATGCCTGAAATACTCTCATGGGCTTTTCAGCCAGATCTGCATGCCTTAAGGGCTGATTCTGAGGCCAGAGTGCTGTTTAGGACATCTGCCATTCTAAGAGTCTGCTGTGTATCCTGCTTCCCATGTTGGATCCTTCTCTCCCTTTTTTATTCTATCAGCTAGTATTTGCAGACACTATTTTTGTTTATGTGATCCCTTTGGTTCTTAGTCCTATCATTAGGATCAATTGTGAACAGAAATTGATCACTTGGACTAGTGAGATGGCATTGGTACATGCCACCTTGATGGGATTGAATTGGAATCCCCTGGTATGTTTCTAACTCTACCGTTTGGGGGAAGTCAGCTTGAGCATGCCCCAAATTGTACATCTCTTCCCTCTCTTATTCCCATTCATATATGTAACAGGGATCACTTTTCAGTTAAGTTTCAACACGTAAGAATAACTGTGTATTGATTACAGTATTCAACCAAAAGTATTAAGTAGACAAACAAAAAAAAATACTAAAAGGGATAATGTTTTAATTTGTTCATCAACAGTCAGGGCGAGGGCTGATCAAGTCACCGTTTCTCATAGTGTTCATTTCACTTTAACAGGTTTCCTTTTTGGTGCTCAGTTAGTTGTCACCTATCAGGGAGAACATATGGTATTTGTCCCTTTGGGACTGGCTTATTTCATTCAGCATAAAGTTTTCCAGATTCAAAACAGGGATCATTTTCAGTTAAAATTTAAACACCTAAGAATAATTGTGTGTTAATTACAGAGTTCAACCAATAGTACTAGAACAAAACAAAGAAAAAATACTAAAATGGAAAAAGTATTACATTATACATCAACAGCCAGGACGAGAGCTGATCAAGTCACTGTTTCTCATAGTGTTCATTTCACTTCAACAGGTTTCCCCTTTGGTGCTCAGTTAGTTGTCGCCAATCAGGGAGAACATATGATATTTGTCCCTTTGGGACTGGCTTAATTCACTCAGCATGATGTTTTCCAAATTCCTCCATCTTGCTGCAAATGACTGGGTTCCATTTTTTTTGACTGTTGTATAGTATTCTATAGAGTACATGTCCCCTAATTTCTTTATCGAGTCTACTGTTGATGGGCATTTGGGTTGGTTCCAGGTCTTAGCTATTGTGAATTGAGCTGCAATAAACATGAATGTGCAGACAGCTTGTTGGTTTGCCAATTTAAATTCCTTTGGGTAAATTCCAAGGAGTGGGATGACTGGGTTGTATGGTAGGGCTATATTCAGGTTTCTGAGGAATCTCCAGACTGACTTCCATAGTGGCTTAACCAATTTGCATTCCCACCAACAGTGGGTTAGTGTCCCTTTTTCCCCACATCCTCTCCAGCATCTATTGTTCGTAGATTTCTGAATGTAAGCCATTATAACTGAGGTGAGGTGAAACCTCATTGTGGATTTGATTTGCATTTCCCTGATTGCTAGTGACCTTGAGCATTTTTTCATGTGCCTGTTGGCCATTTGGATTTCCTCTTTTGAAAAATGTCTATTGGGGTCCTTGGCCCATCTCTTAAGTGGGTTGTTGGTTTTGTTTTTGTGGAGTTTCTTGATCTCTTTGTAGATTCTGGTTATCAACCCTTTATCTGTTGCATAGTTTGCAAATATTTTTTCCCATTCTATCGGTTGCCTCTTCACTCTCCTGTTTCTTTTTCAGTACAGAAACTTCACAATTTGATGCAAGTAGTTGGATTTCTGCAATCAATGCATGAAACCTAGATTGAGTTCCCAGATCTTGAGCATTTGGGGGGTATATCAGAGATGGGAGTCTTCTCTCTCTCTGTCTCTTTTTCTCTTTCTCTCTCTCTCTCTCTCTCTCTCTCAAATAAAACATTAGTTAAAAATTTGAAGACACTACAAAAAGAGGGTCACATTTTACTGATCAAATTTTATTACAATAAAAAAAGAAGACTACAGAGTCATGGCATTTCTAATTTCTGTATCATGATTTTATCTATAACCTAGACATCAGAGAACCCAATACCTACACCTACACCACAGAATATATGCTGAGATCATTCCAAGGCTTATAACCTCCTCTCTGGCTCCTGACCAGCAAATTTTTGTATTTTGGTGACAGCAATGTTAAATGAAAGGGCAGAACCTTTAAAAACCAAGGACAAAATGGACTGGGACATGGTGAGAAAAATTCTCTGTGGTGACCCTAAATTCTAAGAAATATTTGTCAATGTTATTTATATTATTAGTAATGTCTTTATTAGTATATAATTACAGAGGAAAAATTGCTTCAAAAAATCTAAAGCTTAGTTGACAGAAAGGTACATGTTATATGATGAGTTGCATCCCCTCAAAATTCACATATTGAAACTCTCATCACCAGTGCCTCAGAAAGAGACTGTATTCAGAACAGAGACTACAGATACATAATTAAGATAAAATAAGGACAAAAGGATTGGACTTAATCCAATGTGATTAGTGTTCTCATTAGAAACTGAAGAAAAGATCCTGAGAAAACACAGGAAAAAGACAACCCTCTGCAATTCAAGGATAGAGGCCTCCAAAGAAATAAACCTTTTAAAGACCATGACTTAGAATTCTGCAGCCTATCTATCTTTGAGAAAATAAATTTATTTTTCATCCCAACTCATCTGTGGTAATTTGTTGTGACAGCCTGAGTGAATTAAAACAGTAGTGCATGTCTTTATTTTATACAAATGTACTGAATGTTGGTTTCTTGCCTACAACTTGATGAGGGAGTTTAAATTCTATCTCAGTAATTTCTAGGGATCCCTACCAATGAGATAGTGAGCTATGTAAGTGTAACTTTTGCTAGCCATTATCCATCTTTCAAGTGGCTAATACCTAGACACCAGTACATTCCACAGTCTTTGCCAGATCCAGCCATCCTTCTAGTTGATGTTTCTATGCCACAGGAGAGAATGTGGGAATCTTTTTTTTAATGTTATTTATTAATTAATTTATTTTTTTAACTTTTATTTAATGAATATAAATTTCCAAAGTACGGCTTATGGATTACAATGGCTTGCCCCCCATAACGTCCCTCCCACCCGCAGCCCTCCCCTTTCCCATTCCCTCTCCCCTTCCATTCACATGAGGATTCATTTTCAATTCTCTTTCTATACAGATGATCAGTTTAGCATACATTAAGTAAAGATTTCAACAGTTTGTTCCCACACAGAAACATAAAGTGAAAAATAATAGATGATTTTTTTAAATGATGATGAAATCAGATCAGACCTATTGTCATGTTTAATCCCAGTGAGAGTCAAGTTGGGAATTGCTAATTTCTTCTCTTTTTTTTAACAGAAGATCAGTTTAGTATACATTAAGTAAAGATTTCAACAGTTTGCACCCCCATAGAAACAAAAGTGAAATATACTGTTTGAGTACTCGTTATAGATTTAAGCCTCAATGTACAGCACATTAAGGACAGAGATCCTACATGAGGAGTAAGTGCACAGTGACTCCTGTTGTTGACTTTACAAATCGACACTCCTGTTTATGGCATCAGTAAATCTCCCTATGCACCGAGTCATGAGTTTCCAAGGCTATGGAAGCCCTCTGAGTTCTCCGACTCTTATCTTGTTTAGACAAGGTCATAGTCAAAGTGGAGGTTCTCTCCTCCCTTCAGAGAAAGGTACCTCCTTCTTTGAAGACCTGTTCTTTCCACTGGGATCTCACTCACAGAGATCTTTCATTTAGGTTTGGCTGGTTATTTTTTTTTTTTTTTTTTTTTTTTTTTTTTTTTTTTTTGCCAGAGTGTCTTGGCTTTCCATGCCTGAAATACTCTCATGGGCTTTTCAGCCAGATCCGAATGCCTTTAGGGCTGATTCTGAGGCCAGAGTGCTGTTTAGGACATCTGCCATTCTATGAGTCTGCTGAGTAACTCGCTTCCCATGTTGAATCACTCTCCCTTTATTTATTCTATCGGTTAGTATTAGCAGACACTAGTCTTGTTTATGTGCTCCCTTTGACTCTTAGTCCTGTCATTATGATCAATTGTGAACTGAAATTGATCACTTGGACTAGTGAGATGGCATTGGTATATGCCACCTTGATGGGATTAAATTGGAGTCCCCTGGTATGTTTCTAACTCTACCATTGGGCAAGTCAGCTTGAGCATGTCCCAAATTGTACATCTCTTCCCTCTTATTCCCACTCTTATGTTTAACAGGGATCACATTTCAGTTAAATTTCAACACTTAAGAATAACTTTGTACTAATTACAGGATTAAACCAGTCATATTAAGTAGAACAGACAAAAAAAAAACTACTAAGAGGGATAATGTATTAAGTTGTTCATTAACTGTCAGGGCTATGCTGATCCAGTCACC